ATATCCAGAAGCAAGGAAAACTGAACGAAATCAAGAAGGGTCACCAATAATAAATCGAAAAACCTGATCGTCAGCTTCAAATGGTCCCCATATACGCCCCTTTTTAAAATGCATATTAATTTCATACATCCAAAAAACAAAAAAAAAACAAGATGACCAATTAATGTTGAATGATGTCAAACCTGATTGCCTCCTGATCCATGACATGTCTGCAACCCAACGGGACCATCTTTCTTTGCCATCGTATCAAGACATAGCCTCGTCTCCTTGAATCAAAACATAAAATGACTTCAAAGATTAAACATAAGGTTGACAAAGAAAATCTACCTGGTTGGCTATAGCGCCTAAGGATTTATAATCATACGGTAGCGGAGCCTCAGGGTATATGTTTCTTAGATACCTGCAAATGACCTTGTAAAATAACAAGAAACTTTACGTCGTACTTATTTTGAAAACGTTTACCATTCAAAGTTCTTGCATTGCAAATTATTACGCAGCTGCCTTCTGCCAGAAACATCACCAGGGTCAACATTGCGTGCAGCTACAATTAACAGTAGAATTATTAGACACATGAAAAAAGGGAAAATTTTGATTGTCACATACATGGAACCATTTTGTAGAAGAACTGCTTGTATTGGTCCATCCATACCTCAGCCGTTCGCGCTGCGTTATGGTGAATAACCTACAACGTGAACAATTTGAATACATTTCTTAGGCCACGTCCACACTTCGCGATGACGCGCGACGACGCGCTGCAACGCGCTTTAACGTGCGTCGACCCACTATATTTACAACTCCAGAACTATAGATGAGAACTCAGCCGCAGACGGCGTGTGCCGATCAATACCAGGTTGCGTGACCAGGTGACATCTACCACACTACTCTCCCATACTCTCTCGAAAGCACAAGCGGCCGGCACCCATCGATCGAACGTTTGCAGAGGGAATCTATCGGCACCAGTCGTCTCCTGCTATGTCTCTTCTGTAGCTTGAAGCGCTGCTGTTATTGTAGCGTTGCGCGTCATCGCAAAGTCTGAACGCTGCCTAATGTGCAGAAAACAGTAGCACCGCTTCTTCTGCGCCTACAGTTCGGTTGAAATACAGGGCTCCTTCGGGGAATAGATGCTCTAAGGACCAACCAGACCCAGTGAAAGCCTCCGGAGAAAGTGAAAGTTTGCTAAATCTTGAGTCACCTGTTTGCTTTCACTGTCTCGATAGACCAGTGAAAAACTCGTCAATCAATTTGATCTTTAGTTCGTGAAGCGGACAATCACTTCAACTTTTTCAACATTTGTCACCGGGATGAACGGGAGAGGGAGCGGGAGGAGCAACCCCCACCCACGGGCCGGCAGGAGGAAGCAGGCGAGATTCTTGGGATCCATTTCGCCACTGCAGCTATGACAGCAGTTTGTACCGCGTGAGTAGTTTGGCTGCCTGCAATACACAAGAGCGACATCCGAAGGTGGGTAAACCGTATGCGAACCCCCGCGATACACATGCCCAGTGCCAAAACTGGCGCTGAACAAGGCGGCGATACGCAGGCGGCATTAACGCAAATACGACATTCGCGAAAATTATCTCGGGTCAAACCTCGCTACGTAACATCATACCCTATTTTGGCCGCCGAGAGTGAGATCAAATTCCGACATGATCATTGAGATGCCGAGGGCCAAGGAAGGGTCTGCAGAAAATCCAACCGATGCTGTAATGTATGTCTAGACGAATTTCACGAGGAGGGGGGCGTATCACATGGAGAGATACCGTAAAAGAATTTCAGTGAGTTTACGAACCTTTGCAGTACCACCAGGGAACGTGTAAGGTGTTTGCTTCCGGAACACATGACCAACACGAGAACATGGATGGATTTCCAGTGAACCCCCACACGCATCCAACGTAAAGAGTGCAAAAGCATTGCATAAGAGACAAATAATGCAGGAGATAGAGAAAATTATGAGGAGAGTATGTCGGATTGTTCGGCCTTGGGAGGAGGCGGTATTTCGCACTTATGCTACTCCTTTTGCTAAATAGTTCATGATAATTAACAGGTCTTACTTTTTATGGAACCTGTGAACTCTATTAAAACAGCGGAATTATGCAAATGAGCCACTTTGGCTGCCACAGTTTACAGATCTTCACAAGGTGACCTAAAAGGGCTTCACTGAGTACCATTTTGTGCGCCCACCGAGTCGAACTGCGATAGAATTCTTTTCATGTGTCAGTCTAATGGCTGTAAAATAGCTGGACGCGCAATGCATGGTGACTACTCAAAAAGAAACAAAAACAACTTCCCTAGGAGTCTATTGGATGCAAAAAGCTTTTACATAGATCCAGATTTTGATATACTGATAAAGCTCATAAGAGAGCGAAGTCTTTGAAATTCTTTTAGAACCATATATTTCCGACATGGACTTATTAAACGCTACAAGTAAAGCTGGTATAGCGTCAACTTCACGGAGAACTTCTATTGATGAAAACATAACGCAAACCCACTCTGAAAGATATTTCCAGGTTTTCTCCTCCCCATACTTGCATGCCTTCATCATAAGAGCCGATATCGTAGAAGAATTGCCTGTCTATAGCGAATAGACCTCCAGCTATAGTTGGCGTTCTAAACAGGACAGTATAAAACACAGTTTATCAGCAGATCATTGTCAACAGTGGATGACAAGTTCCAGTCTGTCACTTACTGAATAGGCGAAGAACGATCGCCTTTCCTTCGTTGCATCTCCCTCTTTGGAACTGGATACCACCGGAAATTTAAGTGCCAGTTGAAACCTCCCCAAGTTGTATCAGAAGCGGTCACATATTCAAAGGTGTCATCTGAAAAAGAGGCACAGTTGATTGGTGGCTATACAAAGATTTGAAAATGGAGCTCACCAGAAATCACGTCGATGATGGGAGCTACTACGCGTTTCCTGTCTTTGGCCACTCTATCTACAAGTGGTTCCAACCAACCTTCGGTGACCTGCAAGAAACGAAAATCAGCGAATCATGCCGTTAGAAACACATGTCACTTCTGAGTCTCTCCGTCAATTTGAACGGACAGGGGGCGCAGATGACTACTACAGCTGTACACACTAGTTCGCTGCGGATGAAAGGGCGTGTCAGGCAGCATGGGTGTGCCACGGCGCCAAACCCGTTCTCTGCCAGTTGCTGAAGCGGGTATGCGACAACAATGGTAGAAAACGAGTGATACGAAGACACGATACAGTCTTGTCACTTGCTCGCTTCAACAACTGGT